AAACTTGGATGTACACAAAGAAATGAAGGGCACTAGAAATGGTAAAAATGAATGGACTATAGAATGCTCTATACTTAACACCATCTCAGGGGCACACATCTAATCCAGTCTGACTATGCAAACTCCCTTATCTTTCCTGAGCTGCTCTGAGGGAAATCAAACGTTCTAAAGTATAATAAGAATGGTTATTTTTATACTACTGGGGGAAAGGCAACTTAATTAAGAAAGAATGAGATGGGGAGCAAATTTATTAAAGGGCAAAGAATTTTTAATTTAAGTGTGGTCAGGTGTAAAAAAAATAAGTAGTAAAGTAAGAAAAATTGAAGGAAGTAAGATGAGCACTGAAAATCTAAACAAAGAGCACAGGAAATGCTACATTTTAAAACTTGTCACTTAAATAACTTGAAAATTTAATTAGAAAGGAAATAACAGAATAATGTTTTAACCTATAAGCCATTCTCAAAAACACCAGAAAACTTATATTAACCCAATGTTTCTCCTTGGACTATATTAGACATTTCTATAAAAAGAAAGAACATAGGTGAATTGACTAATTCTTTTTATTTATATGCCACCTAATTATATAAATAAATAAAGAAATTTAATATAAAATACATAATTTATAATTATAATGTAATTATAAATTGCTGTGTGCTAATTTCTATTCCAAATGCTTTATAAATATTAAATGTTTAATCCTCACAAGAACCCTATGATGTTATTTTACTTCTATTATTATTATATGCTATTATAGATAACATTATTATTCACATCTTACAGATGTGCTTAAGGTCACATGGTAAAATCAAGATTTGAAAGTGGTCATATTTTTCCTGAAGTCTTTGGTTTTAACCTCTGTGCCATGCTGCTTCCCAACATAAGTGATCAAAATCCTACATTCCTGACACTGACAATTTTCATTAGTTTTCATATGTCTGTACAACACTGATAAAAATGATCATGTATCTGGCTACAAAGAAAACATCAGCAAATTCAAAGGGCAAAGATTTATATAGGTTATTTTGATTCAATAAATAATAAAAAATGTATTAAAAAATGACAAAAAAGTTGACTACTTGAAAATCAAAAATACTTTTGTTATATTAAAAATCTATACATTTGATAAACAAGCTTGATTTTTAAAAAGAAAAAGTAAAACTATAGAAGATTAAGAAGCAGAAAGAATAGATATTAAAATGACTAAAATTTTTGAAGAAAATATATTATGAACTTGATTATAACAACTTTAAAAACTGGAATAAACATTGGAAAAGAAGAGGAAAACTGTTTTTGCAGATGATATAACTGTAAACCTAGAAAACCCAAAGGAATCTTGGAAAAATCTCCTAGAATTAAGAAGAGAATTTGATAAAGAGATTGGCCAAAAACATGCCAAAAGAAAATCATTATCTTTTCTCTACTCTAGCAATAAAACAAGAATGGAAAAAGGTTTGTTTGAAATAATGAAAAAGAAACCCCTATGAAATATTTAGAAATGGATATAACAAAAAAGGAACTTAACAATGAATTCATACTAAAATACATAAAGGAAAAATGAAGAAGTGGAAAGATGATATTCCTAGATGAGAAGACTCAATGCCATAAGAATATTACATTCCCCCAAATTGTGTGTATATTTTGCTAAAATTCACAACAATATGGGTATTTTTGGTTTGTTTGTATGGCAGTTGGATAAAGTGATCTTAAAGTTCCTAAAGAAAAATGAATACTAAAGAAAGGAAAGTAATTTTGGAAAAATAGGGATAGAGCAGGGCAGAAGACTTCCTCATCTGTTGTTAGAGCCCTCTATAAAGCCATTAGATTCAAATCAGTACCTTACTGCACCCCAATTTTCTTGCAGATCCAAAGTTACAGCACAAATGTATCAGTGAAAAATACAAAAATAAAGCAAAGTTCTTACAAGAAAATCTAGTTTGTATGTACTCTATTGTACAGGAAAAATTTCCTGGTCAGAACAGAGAAGTCAAAAGCTACAGAGAATGAAAGATGCCCTCTCAAAAGAAAAAAAAAAAGCTACAGAAAAAAGACAGACATATTTAACTATGAAAATTATAACTTTGAAGGCAAAGATATCCTAAAAATATCACTGACCATGGTAGATTTTCAGAAATATGTATAATGCAGATAATATATATTTTTATAATATACAAAAATTTATTATAGTTTGACAACAGAAACAAGAACAAAGCAACAGAACAGGTAAAAGATATGAATGTGCAATACCCACACAGAAAATAAAATCCAAATGCCTAAAAAAACATGGAAAGATACTCAAATTCACCAAATGTAAGGGGAATGCAAATTCAGCTAACAATGAGTTATCATTTATATCTACTATATTGTCTAAAATTTAAAAGATCTGTAGCTAATTGCTGGCAGGGTTGTAAGAAGGGGAGCAATTGCATGCAGCATGGATGGGATGGGAAACGCTCCAGCCTCTTGGGGAAGCAGTATGGAGATAGCTATTAAAATATATACACTCTTAAGGCCAAAAACCTCCCCAATATAAATAAAGTTACTAGAACATAAAGATTTATATAAAGGTGTTTTGTTTGTTTTTTGAGGGAGGGAGGTGTTTTTATTTTTCTAGCAAATTGTAGAAGCTGTGATGTATTTCTAACAATAGGGGAATGGCTTATTAAGCTATTGCATATCCCTGTGATGGATACAGCCATCATAGAAGAATTAATACAGCCGTCATGAAGAATTAATCAGAGTCATGCTGGTTGACAGGAAGAACTTCAGAAGGTACTGTTGACTGAGTAATATGTGATACAGAAGAAAAGTGTGTAATGTGGTTCTTTTTTTGTGAAACAATGATCAGAAAGTATCCATGTGTATATGTGTATGTGTATGTGTGCCTCTGTGTATGATTATATAGCCTTGGGTAAAAATGGGAAAGATACATACTAGATCATTAATATGAGTTATCCAGGTAGGTGGGTGGGTTGGGAATTGATATGTGTAGGAGGTGCCAAGCCAAAAAAGGGAAAATAAGACCACCCACACATGACTACACATATGTACCTATGCTTGAATCAAATCACATTCACATGTATTTGTGAAAATGTATGAATGTGTGTTTAGACATAAAGAACTCATCTGGCCAAGTTGAGGAACTTTGTCTCACAGATAACTTCTTTGCCAGGAATATTTGCAATTCCATTTGAACCCATGCACCAAAAAAATTCTCCAGGGAAAAATTTCTCATTCTGGAATTCCTGTACTTAATTCTGACTTCCCCTCCCATGACATAGTGTTTCACCTCAGAAATAGCACTCAGAAAGGCTTCAACATCCTTCTGGAAATCTCCATATCCTTTGAGGTTTCTACCTCTATCCCGTCTTGTCCATACTTCTGTTCTTGAAATAACACCCAGGTTAACCTTTCTAAGTAAAGCAAATCACACCATTTGGGGCAGATTCTCTAGGGGTGTCAGGCCATAGTTCTTCTCTTTGCACAACAGAGAAGCCAGAAAAAAAAGGGTTCCACCACAGGTAAGTGGAAAGGTGACCAATCGTTCTGTAGGTCATAGGTTTTAGAATTTTAGAGGATCAGATATGATCCTCTTCAGGATCAAATATGAAGGAAAATATGTGAAGCCAAGAAAACTAACTTGAGATATCTTTAGTCAGCCCACACTGTTTACTGCTCATGAGTTCCTTGCCTCAATGTTTACAGAATGTTGACTACTTTCACATTCCATGCTCACATCTGTCTACTTCCTTCAGCCTCTACGTGATGGGGCGATTTCCTGCCCTGCAAAGGAAGCTCCAGGTGCAGAGAAGACTCTAAGGGTGTGGCACAGCCTTGGAATCTGGCTCTTTTTCTTTATTAAAACATACTCTCCTCATCTCCTCCCAAGTTGACTTTTGGGAGCCATTCCTAAATTCATTCATCTGCTTTTAAACTCTGAGAATGAGAAAGAAATGTAGTTTTCCTTTTTCCTCAAATCATTGACCCTAGTATTGTCACAACACTTCAAATCGATTAACCACAGAAACAGGAGGGAGAAACATGCCACTAAAGAGAAATGCCACCATTTAAAGAGTGATAAACAGGTTTTGGGAAATTAGTATAATCATGGCCTCCAGTGACTCACAGAGAAATAGAATATCATTGTTTTAAGAAATGAACTTTTGGGACAGCTTGTTATGCAGCTGTAGTTAACTGAGGCTGCGTCCAGCCCCTATGCAATGTGATTTGCTTCTTTCAGGGAGAAGTAGGGCTATTTCTCCATCGTGGGGATCCAGCCTTGGAATGCAGTGGGAGTTCCAGATCTAGGCTCTGGGAGGCTTTGCAGCTTCCCCTCTTGCCCTCTGGGAATGCTGAGCTGGCCATGCTGCAAAGAAGCCTGGGCTAGCCCACTGGTGAGTGAGAGGCCTGGGGAGGAGAAGAGACTCACTGTTGGCCAGCACCCATCCCAGACCAGCGAGTGAGGCTGTTTGGGACTTTCCAGTTAAAGTCAGGCTCATGGGTGATCCCAGGCAAAACCTGCAGAGGAATAGCTCAGCCAACCCCCAGAACTGTGAGAAATAATACATGGTCAATGGTTTGGTCACTGAGTTTTTTTGAAGTTGTTTATTATATAGCAAGAACTGATTAATATAGAGGCTTGGGCATTTTAGTTAAATATCTGTGTATCTTTTTCTTTTCTAGTGTTCTGTGTATAATGTTCTATTTTCTAGTTCTATTTTTTCCCTTAGAAATCTAGGGAAAACACATTCCCTACATGGACACAAACAGCTAAGTACTGCACACTTAGAAATTCATAGAAGACAGAGGATCACAAAGACAGGCACTATATCTTATGTGTACTCTTCAATATCCTGCACAAAGGACAGCATCATATAGCCAGTAAGAGGTCAGCATGTGTTAACCAAATGAAGTCTCTCACAGGACAGCTGTTGCTGCTTTTATCTCATTTTCTTAGTACTCAGATGTGTCTGCAAATGAACAGTCTGGTTGATTTGGCTTACCTGGCCGGCTCTGCAGGGCTTCCCCTGTTGCCTCATTTCTTCACAGAGGGAGCTCTCGAAGATCTCAGCCTGGAAGAACAGAATTGCTTCACTGGCCAAGAGTGTAGTGGTTGTAGATATATTAGTGGTAGGAGCTTCAAGGAACAGCAGCTAATATTTATTGACACCTTATCAACATGCCATTTACTTTACATGAATTAACTCAATTAACTAGTTATTATTTCTGTAAGGAAACTAAGGCACGGATAGGTTAATGGATCAGCCCAAGCTAACACATTTAAATGGCAAAGCCTTAGCTCTTAGCAAATACTCTGGTTCTAAATGTGGCTAATTGTGTGGTTACAGCTGGAAGGTTTAAACTAAGGAATGTTAAACATAATCATTTATAAAAGTTACCTAATAAGGAATCACCTATAAATTACCATCTCTAAAACTTCTAAATATCATTTATACTTCTCTTTAGTCAAGAAATAAGTATTATTGAGAGCATATGTCTGTACTTACACATTGAAAGTCATCAACATATCAACTAATAAACAAAAAATACCATATAAGAATCTTAACTCTATATGTACTTACACTATTTTAAAGAGAGACCAGACTTACACAATGAAATGACTAAAGAATAAAACTACATATTAAAAAAAAAGAAAAAGGAACAAAGGAGTTCTGAAAATCTCACCTCTTACAGGAAGGAATCTGAGTCACATTTCCAATCTCCCTTTCTCCTTGAAGCAAAACCCTGCTTTCCTTTTTGAATGTCACAGCACTTAAAGATGATTCAATAGGCCAGACTAACCTGTGATGGCAACTAGAATAATCTTCAGAAAGAAAATTTACTTTGGGATTTAAGATGATCAAAACTGATTCCTTCTTAAGAGGCTTAGAAAGTCAAAGCTGTAAACACAGCTGGGGAAACACTTGAATATGGGTCCATAAAAATGCCAGTGAATAATCCATCCTGTGCATCATGGCGTGGACACTACACCACATTCATGAGCCTATAAGAGCACGGTAAATATTTTTATACAACTTCATTGGCAAAGAGAAAAGAATGTATAGAGGCATGCCCACCCACATCTATGTGTGTAGTATAAGTGTCTTTCTTGTTTAATTGGAGCAAAGGCTAAAGGATTACATTCAGCCCAGCTACTAAATTGCAACACAGGAATTTTATATAACCAAACCTATAGAAATTGGATTTATCTTTTCACAGTTTAGAGTGACAATAGAATCATTTTTGACTGAATGAAAAATAAAATGTTTTACCATGTGTTGACCAATAGTCAACAATAGAAATTGGGCCAATTTTCCCTGTATAGAATAATTTTGATTCATCAAGAGCTTTCTTCCCTTGGAAGGATAGACATTTATATATTAACAATGATTATCTCTGGTAGTGAGATTGGGAGTGTTGGTTATTTACTTCTCTTTGCTTTTGGTGTTTTTGACATTTTTCAAAATAATATATTATTTTTATAATAAAAAGATATTATGCTTTTAAAAAAAGCAGTCAACCTACTTAACTTCCTTACCATTAATAGACATTCCTACATTATTCAAATAATTTGCCCTTAACTACTTCACCTACCAAAAAGTTCTTATCTTCAGCTCATTTAACAATAATATTCCCTTCTGAGAGAAATCTTATTATCAATTTTCACTGATATCTAGAAATACATGTCAAGGCTAAGAATATTTTGACATAGGACTTGAGCTTTGGAAAAAGAAGTCACTCTTAAGGGGAAAGAAATTATGCCTTAAAAAATTCTTTTTCAGATGACTTACTGTGTAGTTCATCAGCAAGAGACACAAAAAGTACTTTCTAAAATAATGGCCCAGAACCTTGCTCTTTGAGATAACAAGGCTCTGTTTTTGCAGGTGGCCTTCTACTCAAAGAACAAAAACTGGAAATACCCACTGAATTGCCCTCTTTACATGTGTTGAGTCATGCTAATGCAAAAGAGTTAATCAAGTCCTGGGTACAAAGAGATTTATGTAAAGGAAAAGGACCAGTCTTAGATTCACTAAGCCCCAGATGCAAATACTTCCATGTGCCTCTACAAGGACATGGACTTACTGGGGAGGCCAGCTGGCCAGTAGAAAGATATGCAAGTTTGAGCCACATACAGAATTCTAAATTTTTTAGTAGCCACATTTTAAAAAGTAAAAATAAACAGTTAAGTTAGTTTTATATTTTAACTATCTCCAAAAATATTTCAATATCAAACATGTATTTAGCTAATGTATATTCCTTTTTTTTTAACCTATTTCAGTTTCATCATGTATTTTACTCATAACATAGCCCACTTTGGATTAGCCACATTTCAAGAGCTCAAGAACCACGTGTAGCTAGTAACTACCTTATTGCACAGTACAACTTGAAGATGAAAATGTTATTCTTACTAAGTGAAATTATAGTGTCTTAAACATTTTTTTACTTGAGATGTAATTCAAATACTATGAAATTCACCCTTTTAGATGTACAATCAGTAGTTTCTAGAATATTTATGAGTGCAACCATCACTATTATCTAATTCCAGAACTTTTTTATCATCCCAAAAAGAAATCCCATACCATTTTCAGTCAGTTCCCACTCTCTTCTTTCCCCAGCCCTGGCAACCACCAGCCTGCTTTGTCTCTATGAATTTGCCTATTTTGGGCATTTTATGTAAGTGGAGTCACAAAATGTGTTTTTTTTATATCACACTTCTTTCACTTAACAAAATATTTTCAAGTTTCATCCACATTGTAGTGTATATCATTACTCATTCCTTCTTAATGGTTAAATGCTATTCCATTGTACGGATATATGCCACAATGGAATATATATAGTGTGGATAAAATGAGAGTTCCTGTGGCCAGGATTCTCACCTGGCCCTGGTTGACTAGCTCACTGCACACCTGTGGGCAATTTGACTCTATATAAAGAGCTCCGCCCAGTACTCTGGGCACGACACAGTGGCAGGGCTGCAAGGCTGCAGGAGAGCAGAGCGGAGGCTGGAGTGGTGGCAGCACCGAGGACAGAGGCCCGGAAGATGGCTGGGTGGGATGACTGTGCAGAGAGGCCCAGAGGATGGCCTGTGCAGGACAGAGGGGCCCAGAGGCAGAGACTGGCTTGCTGCATACAGACTCGCTCTGAGTGAATAGGATTTTAGTGACTGACCTGCCACCTGGAAATAAAGCTGGGTATAACCCTTTCAACCTGAGAATGTTTTGCTGTCAATTCCTTTGGTCACACTGAATCCATAGCGAACTTGCCCGAGGCTGAAATCCATTGGCAAGACAATTGGCGAAAGTCAGCAGGGTTCATTGTTGACCAAGGAAAAAGACAGGCTGCCCTTGTGGGAGGGGTGCTTCAGCGGGCTGCCCCTGTGAATGGGGAGACAGTGGGTAATCCCCCAGTGGGTATGTGGTCTGAAGTGGCTTGCTTCCTAGAGGACTGGGCCCCACCCCAGGACTAGAGACAAGTGGAAGTGACACCTGAGGCAGTAGGAGTGGCTCTTGGTAGAGTGAGCAGATCCTTTGAGAAGCAAAGTGCCCCTGAGGCAGCGGGGACTGTGGGTTGGCTGCTTCTCACAGTCTTAAAAAGGTCTACAGAGGAGACCCAAGAAATGGTGGCACGAGAACGTGAGCTGCAAACTTCAGATTCCCTGAGGAGGGAAATGGCATTGATGCAAGAGGTAGCACGAGAACGCCAGCTGCAAAGCTCTGTGGATTCCCTGAGGAAGGAGCTGACCTTGATGTGGGAGGAGGCAGCACGACAGCGCCGGCAGCAAGATGCCACTGGAGACGAGATGGCAGTGCTGCCAGGTGTTCTGAAGGAGGAAGAGGCCATCAAGGAAAAAGACGAACTCCTGAGGGGAGCACAGGCAGAGGTGGCACAAGAACATCAGCTGCGAAGCATTGAGCTGAAGGTAAGACTTCTGAAGACTGAGGTGGCATTGCTGTGAGGCACAGTAGAAAAGGTGAAGGTTGTAGCAAAGGAGGCACTCGGGGGAGGGGAAAGGTGCCTTCAGCCCCAGAAATGGAGGAGCTGGGTAAGGATGAAGGGGTAGTGCCGGAGGCACTGGCGCCTCCTGTATTGAAAGCACACCCAGTGGTTGTAAAGAAAATAAAGACCCAGCAGCTGAAAGTTCCCCAAGGAGAGGAGCAGCCCCCTCCCCAGGTCATGGAGCACTCTACGGTCCACCCCTATACTCAGGCTGAGCTGGTGGATTTGGGCTCCCAGTTTAGGCAGAAGCCCTCAGAGTCAATATCAGCTTGGCTCCTGTGTCTGGGACTTAGGGGTGGATGGAATTGTTCTGTCGGGATCAGAGATGGGAAAGCCGTCTTCCCTGACAGTGCAGCCCGCCCTTGAGGCAGGGATTACAAAATGCACATCAGACTCAGGGAGTCACTCCCTCCTCGATTGGCTTATGGCTGCACTTCCTGCTGTGTGGCCCAATCCGGTTACTGTGCCATCCTCTCCTGTTAGATGGTAGACGTATGCTGAACTCCAGCAGGTGCTACAAGAGCTAGGCATAAGAAATGCCATCTATAGTCCAGAGAATTATAACCCAGATGAAGAGATTTTCACTACTGGGATGAGAAATACTGTACTTCAAATGGCTCCTACATCCCTCTTTGGGTCTCTGGTGGCCATTCTTTCCCCTCACTTAGGACATCCCATAAGCGAGGTGATACATACAGTAGCAGACTTAGGAGAGGCAGAAGCAACGACAATCCGCAAAGAAATAAGACCTGTTACTCACAAGAAGAATTTCCAGGGCCCCATGAAGGTTACGAGGACCCAGATGTGGGATGATTTAATATGGGCAGGAGCAGATGGAAGGAAATTAGATGGCAAGTCCAATAGGATCTTACCAGAGCTATGGCAACAGCTGAAACCAGAGCAGCAGTTCCAGCCATTGAGACCAAAGAGGCAGAGGTCAGACACAGAGACACGAGTCAGGCCTGTGTGTCTGCAAGACTTTTTGCTGGAGAACAATGTTCGAGCTTCCTTGCACAGGGACCATTGCAGAGGACTAAGGGCACATAGATTGAGAGGAGAGAATCCTGGAGGCATA